GGCCACTGCACTCCAGTCTGGGCCACAGAGTGAGACTCTAACTCAAAAAAAAAAAAAGAACTTGCCCCCAGATTGGGTGCGGTGGCTCAAGCCTGTAATCCCAGATCAGTCTCGGCAACTTGGTGAGACCTCACCTTTACCCAAAAAAAAAAAGCCAGGCATGGTGGTGCGTGTTTGTTCGCTTCACTGTCCTTCCCCAAATTCCTCATCTGTCAGATGGAGTACAATGGCGCTCTAGTGTGACCTTTATGCTGACAACCCCCCATAGCTCATGAGTCCCTCTTCTAAGAGTGCGTCGGCTCCCACCGTGAACGGAGCTGAGGTCGCAGTCACCCCTTCCCTCCTTCCTTGCTCCCTGCCAACGTCTGAGCCACAGGACACGTCTTCCTCTTGGTTAAAGAGGCAACCCGTGAGCTGCTCTGCTGCCCACGCACCTTGTCTCGCTGCCATCGTGGAGGAAACGAAAGCCACGCGCTGACACCTCCATCCCCACGACCCAGCCTCGCCCCCGAAGTCAGACACATCCAGGCTGCCAGAGTCTGTTCTCCAGCAGATTCCGTGGAAGCCAGCAGCTCTCTGAGTCCCTCCCTTGGTGCCTGTGGCCTGCAGTCTGTGCGCCTGGAGGTCGGGTGGGCATGGCTGGATAGAGCTCCCAGGGTCGCAGCTTCTGTTACTGTGTATCCCAGAGACGTTACTACATTTCGCAGGCAATGCTGTCACTGCATCAGTCTGCTGCCTCTCCGATCCTGTCTCCTTCATACCCGACTTGGTTTCTCTGTCTACCCAAAAGGGTTTTTTAGTCTTTAGAATCAAATAGCTGTATAAGATTGCATCTCAGTATTGCCTGTTCCGTGTTGGTTTTCCCAATGTGTCTTCCACTACACAGGTTTAAATTTACTTTTATTTCATACTTCCTTTTCTTGAGTCATAGTTTCCATTATTTGTTTTTTTGTTTGTTTGTTTTTTGAGTCAGAGTCTCACTCTGTTGCCTAGGCTGGAGAGCAGTGGCATGCTCCTGGCCACCGCAGCCTCGACCTGCTGGACTCAGGCGCTGCTTCCACCTCAGCCTTCCAAGTAGGCGGAACTATAGGCATGTGCCACCACATCTGGCTAATTTTTCTTAATTTATTGTACAGATGAGTTCACGCCAAGTTGCCCAGCTGGTCTCAAGCCCCTGAGCTCAGGCAATACTCTTGCCTCCACCTCCCAAAGTGATGGGATGACAGGCGAGAGTCACCATGCCCGGCCTTTGACAGCCTTCTTTATCACTCTTCAGGATAATGTCTTTCTTTCTTTCTCTCCTCTGATTCCCTTATCTTCTATTTCTTCCTTTAATGTAACTTCCATGGTGTCCATCCATTCCTGCATTCTTGTTGTATGGTTTTCACTGCTGAAATATTTCTGTATTTTTTTTCTAATTTTCTCCTGAATCCTGTGAACTCTGTTTTCATATTTTTCTGTTACTCTTTTTTTTTTTTTCGAGTTGGAGTCTCACCCTGTCACCCAGACTGGAGTGCAGTGGCCGCTCCCAGCCACCGCAGCCTCGACCTGCTGAGCTCCAGTGATCCTTCCGCGCCAGCCTTCCAAGTAGCTGGAACTACAGGCGCACACTACCATGCCAAGCTAATTTTGATTTATTGTAGAGATGAGGTCTCACCAAGTTGGCCAGGCGGGTCTCGAACCTGCGGACTCAGGCAATCCACTCACCTCAGCCTCCCAAAGGCGCGGGATTACAGGCTGAGCCACCGAGCCTGGCTGTTACTCATTTTTATTCTAAGTTTTCCAAACATTTTTTTTTGAGTCGAGGTTTCACTCTGTCACCCAGGCTAGAGTGCAGTGGTATGATCATGGCTCACCTCAGCCTCAAACTCCTGGGTGAAGGCGATCCTCCCACCTCAGCCTCCCGAGTAGCTGGGACTACAGGTATACGCTACCATGCCTGGCTGAGATGAATCTTTTTTTTTTTGAGTTGGAGTCTCACTCTATAACCCAGACTGGAGTGCAGTGGCCATTCCCGGCCACCGCAGCCTCGACCTACTGGGCTCCGGCGATCCTTCCACCTCAGCCTTCCAAGTAGCTGGAACTACAGGCGCATGCTACCATGCTTAGCTAATTTTTTTTATTTATTGTAGAGATGAGGTTGCACCAAGTTGCCCAGTTGGGTCTCGAATCCCCAGGCTCAGGCAATTCACTCACCTTGGCCTCCCAAAGCACGGGATAACAGGCTGAGCCACCGAGCCCGGCCAAGATGAATCTTAATAATGTATTTTATTTACTCCAATATATCCAGAATATATTCACTATAGAATCAACTTAAAAACGACTGAGATAGGCCAGGCTCGGTGGCTCAGTCTATAATCCCAGCACTTTGGGAGGCTGAGGCGAGTGGATTGCCTGAGCCCACGGGTTCAAGACCAGTCTGGGCAACTTGGCGAGACCTCATCTCTACAATAAATAAAAAATTAGCCGGGCGTGGTAGCGTGCATCTATAGTTCTGGCTACTTGGAAGGCTGAAGCAGAAGGATCGCTGGAGCCCAACAGGCTGACGTTGCGGTAGCCATGAGTGTGCCACTACACTTCAGCCTGGGCAACGGAGTGAGTCTCCAACAAAAAAAAAAAAAGAGATTGAGATACTTTGCATTATTCTCCTGCAAAGTCTGCACAGCCTGGTGCACAGTGTGCACTTCCAGTATGTGTCCACTGGACCATGTCCAAGGCTTCGCAGCCACACAGGGCTGCAGTACTGGACAGAGCACCCCGCCCCCGCTGCCATGAGGCAGCCCGAGTCGTCCCAGGCACACAGCACAGCCCGTCCCTCCTCTGGCCAATGCTCTGCCCATCTCACCAGGAGGCAGGTGGGAGCACTCACCGGGCCTGCAGCCTTCTGTGGCCGAGTCCCGCCACCTCTCCAGCCTCGCCTCCTGCACGGGGCGGCCCTACGCCCTGTCTCGGAGCCCAGGCCGGGCTCTGCCTCTGTGCTTGCCGCTCTGCCCACCACCTTGCCCACTCTGCTCAGATTCCCCTGGTCAGAGAGGCAGTCTTGGCTGACGGGGAAGCCAGAGGTGCCTCCCCCGCCCGGCCCCTGCTTTTTCTTTATTCGCCGCTCGCGCTGCCACCTGACGCATGCTATGCAAGCATGCACTCATCTGCCGACTGCTTAGTCCTTGCGCCCAGGAGAGCAGCTGGTGCCTGCAGGGACGCGACACCAGTGTGTCGGGTGCACACGCGCCCGCCAAATGCTTGGGAAGGCCTGCGGCGGGCACTTGCTGGGTTGCCAGGTCGTCCCACAAGGCCTGTCCTGCGAGGCGTGGGCCCCATGAGGCAGGGGTGGCACGGCCATCTTGCCCACGGGCCTGTGCACCCTTGAAATCCCCGATGACACCCACCCTCCTCCCACCCTTCTCACTGTCTCCCATTCACACTGGCCTGCCCCCCCATCCTTGTCCACAGGCGTGGACAATTAAAGCCCTGTGTGGGTCAGACCTGGGGGCTGTGGGGCTCCAGGGCACACACCACCACAGTTCCAGCCCTGCCCAGGGATGCAGCCCCGTGGCCGGGCGCCCACCCTTCCGGAGAAGCCAGATCTGTGGGTTTTCCCAGGGACTCTTCTAGGGGCAAGTGTTTTCACAAATTCTGATGAAGGCCGCCGGACCATCCTGCCATAACAGGAAGTAAGGGAGCCAGGTGGGCTGGGTGGTGTTGAAGGAACCTCCGGAGCCACTTGACCTGCCCCTCCGGCCACAGATGGAGACAGAATAATGGCTGTTACCAAGGAGCATGAGCCAAGCTGTGTAGACCCAGAGGGCGCGACAGCACTAAAAAAGGACACAAATGATGCATCGGCCACGTCTGGAGACCAGAAAGCCAACATGTCACCACCCTGACAGCTTTCTCCAGAAGAGCAAAGGGTTCATCCTGCCTTTCTTACGTGGCCTGTGCCCCAGGGCAGCCACACGGTTCAGAGGCAGTTTTGGGGGCATCCCTGCTCCGGGCGGGAGGGAGTAAGTACAAGGAGGAAGAGTGGGCCGGGCAGGGCTCTCGGTGACGGATGGGAGCACAGAGGGGGCCGGGAGCCCAGCTCCCCTGGCTGGGAGGACTCAGTGCTGTGTCCTGCCCGTGGCAGACCAGCCAAACCAAAATCCACCATGGCCACCATGCAGGCAGTGGGCACAGAGACACTGAGGGCTGCCCACAGGGGACACACAGTGCAAGTCAGGCTCGAGAGAGCCTGCAGCACAAATGACCCTCTCTGCAAAAGATATGCCAGAGGAAGATGGAAAGGGGGAGCACAGAAACCTGCAGGCCAGAAGAGGGTCAAGCGGCACATGACCAGCAACGTGTGGCCACGGGATGCCTCATCAGACAGCCTGCCTATCCACGCAGCATTTGATGATACCAAGGAATTACCGCGAAGGCGCTGATTTAACAACACCACCATTAAGACCTTAAAATGGTCTGTTCTGTGGGGATCCTGGCTGAAGGCTGAAGGGGAACGAGCGCAGGCTCAAACCCCAGGGGGCAGGCCTCTGCACACAGCCTGCCCTTGGCGCGGCAGCTCGGAAGGGATGACATGAGGGTGGGCCCTGTGAGCTCCTGCCTCACGGGACGCGGAGGCAGGCTGAAGGAGGCGAGAGGGCTGGATGTGGGGCTGCAGAGGCTGCGCTGGCGCCGGGCCGTGAAGGGGTGGTGAGACCCTGGGGCTGTCTGAGGCGCCCCCACAGGCCTCTCTCCAGCTGAGGCCACAGCAGGTACGCTTGGGGTCGGCGGCCGGCCTGCACCTCCCGGTCCTGACTCCTTCCCCGCTGCTCCCGAGGGCCCCCTCACCTCTGCGCCAGGCTCGGCAATGCTGGCTCTCCTGCCCTTGATGACGCAGCCCATCTGCTTGGACGGCGTCTTCTGGAGGAAGTCGGAGATCCTCTGAACCAGGAAATCGCGGTCTTGCAGGTTGGCAAAGAGGAAGGTCATCTTACTCTTGGTGCTGATGGACAGTGGGCTGGGCAGGACGCTGGAGCTGTCTGCTTTCTCGACAATGGTCACCTGAGAAGGCAGAGGCACCCCTTGGCGTCAGGCCCCGGAGCTGGGTGAGCTCTGTGAACGGAGACGACGCCATGGCCGAGTCACCCTCTCCTGGGCACCGAGGGCCACAGGCCTGACTGGATCCATACCTGACTCTGCACATGACCCCGAGCAAGTGGCCTGTGTCGAGCCCAGCTTATCCATCAGCGAGGGTGAGCACACCAGCCTCATGGCCAGCTGGGCCCGCTGGCCCTCGGAGGCTGCCAGTCAACCCTGTGATGGAACGAGCAGTCCCTCCCCAAAGCTGGCCCCACACTTGCTCCCAGGCACACCTTTGGACAGCGTGGGTCCTGGGCTTGGCTGTGGCTCCAAGGTGTGGTGGGGGCGTGCTGGGCTTGCAGCGGGTGCTCGGGGCCTGCCAGGGAGATGGACAAGGGCTGCACAGGCTGAGTCAGTCAGCAGGGGTGGCTGGTGGGGGCGGCTGGAGGCACCTGGGAAGGACCCTCCGGAGCTACCTGGCAAGCCCCTCTGATCACAGACAGAGGGAGAATAACGGGGAGGCACCAGGGAGGACAGAGGCAGCAGGCACAGCCACGGTCTGTGGTGGGCACAGGGTCAGCCGGAGGAGGAAGAAGAGGCCAGAGCCAGGCTGGGGTGAGCAGCGGTGGGCGGGGGGCATATGTGTGTGTGCATGTGAGAACGCAGGTCCGAGGGGCCGAGGCTTACAGGCCTCGTTGGTCTCGAGGCAGGCGGGGACTCTCTGGACCGCAGAAGATGCCTGCAGGCTCCAAGCAGGGCACCAACATGCACACTTTGTGGGCTGCTGCGGGAGCGTGCGTTACACAGGGTCCAGTGTAAGGACCTCCTGGAGGGCCTAAGCAGGCAATGGTGACCCAGAGGGCAGCTGAGGAGCGATGGGCCAAGCCCCGGGGCGAGGTGGCAGGACGGGCTGAGGGCAGGATGCAGGGAGGAGGGAGGGAGGAGGCCTGACACGGGCCCTCACTGGGGAAGGCGCTTCCAGAGCAGGGCACGGGAGGGCACAACCAGGAGCGAAACTCAAGCCCTGGAGACATGCCCGGCTGGCTCCTCATAGGAGTGCCCTTGAGCCCTGCTGGCTGGGATGCTGAGGGCAGGTGTGCAAGGGCTGGCTGCCACCCTCACCAGCTGCGGTGCCCCATGGCAAGCGCACTCAACCCTCAGCACTCAGTGCAGCCAGCCCTGTTCCACCCCCCAGCTGGTACTCGCTGCCCTCACGATGTCTGGGGCTCAGCAGGAGAAACACGGCTGGACCAGAGTCAAGAAGGCTCCTTCAGGCCTGAAGCCTGGGATCAGGTCAGCACAGTGCCCAGGACGGAATCTGGGGCTTGGTGTGGAGAGAATGGGGCGGCGGGAGTGGCAGAGCCACACCTGAGTATCTCACAGAGCCTGTGGAGTGATGGATCCTGGGGAACCTGAGGCAGCACACTCTGCCCACCTATCTACAGTTACACCTGCAACTTGACGGCTTTGTACAAATGCCAGCAGGTCCAAATGCTCTGGGTTTTTCGTGTAATCAAAGCAGCCGGGTGTGGTGGCTCCCGTCTGTCATCCCAGCATTTGGGAGGCCGAGGCAAGAGGACTGCCTGCGCCTGGGGGTTGGAGACCAGTCTGGGCAACTTGGCGAGACTTTGTCTCCACAATAAATCAAAAAATTAGCCAGACGTGGAAGTGCACGCCTATAGTTCCAGCTACTCGGGAGGATGAGGCAGAAGCATCGCCTGAGCCCAACAGGTCGAGGCTGCAGTGGCCATGAGCATGCCCCTGCACTCCAGCCTGGGCGACAGAGTGAGTCTTCTGCTCCAAAAACAAAAAAAGTCAGAACACTGTGATTTAAGTTACAACATAAGAACCTCACTGTATATCATGCAATTAGACAGGCAGACCCCCACTAGGCCACAATGCCTTTGGCGTCAAGGCCCCATCTGGGTGGGGTCCTCATGGTCCAAAACCTTCCCTGCAGAACAGACTTGATTCCCCTAGTGTCACCAAGAAAGCACAGAAATTTGAGAAAGAGCACCCCTGAGGCGAGACCCATTCTACACCACAGGTGAGAGCCAATCTCAGCCCAAGAGGTGAGGTCTGAGTCCCCCTCCCCCGACATGAGAAAGGTGACCCCTGATGCCCTGCTGGAACCTCAGCCTCAGTCAAGGTCCATGTGGGGCCAGGACTGGTGAGGGGTCTCCTGAAAGTGACATGGGCCTGCTGCAGGAACGAGGTCCTCAGAGCAGCCAAGGAGCACGGATGGTTCCAAAATCCAGCCGTGGGCTTGGGAGGCCCTGGCTCTGTGAGGGACTCAGGTCCTCCCACAGCTTCCTATGCTCCCACAGCAGGGCCCTCCTGGACACTGCCAGGCCTCCCACCGGGCGCATGAACCCCCACACCACCGCAGCCCTGGTACTGGGCAGGGCAATGCGGCCACATCCTGTCTGTATCCCGTATCCTGTCTCGGAGCCTCCCGCCCGGTGGTCCCAGGAAGCCTGGACAGAGCCAGGCTGCAACCGGGGATGCTCACCTCCCGCAGAGGGATGATGAGGTGGCATGCGTCCTCCTCCTTGCTGGCAAAGCAGATGTAGTTGTTGGAGATGAACATCTGACCGAAGATATGCAGCTTGTTGAATGGCGTCCACAGGGTGCAGCCTGTGTGGCCATCCAGCCGCTCGTCCCGCGGCAGCCGGAACGTTGCCCGGTAGCACTCGTTCTTGGCACGGGCGTCCAGGTCTCTGGGGAAACCGGGAGGGCAGCGGGAAAGGGACGAAGTCAGGGCCAGGGCACCCTCTGAGAAGCCTGGGGCCTCCCCGGCTTTGGTGTCCATGTCAGAGTCAGGATCCCTGGGAGTCTCCCATGAGCAAGTCGCACCCAGGGACCTAGAGCTCATGAAAGACGTGTAAGCGACCAAGCAGAACGGGGGACACTATGACCAGTAGAGACATGACCAGCCAACAGTGACACGGGAGCTGACCCAGGCAGCATGCGACCCACTCTCGGTACTGGAGGGCAGGCTGCACCCACAGCCCCGCATTGACCCTGCTCAGGTGGGCCAGAGTGCACCACGGCCTGGGCTCTTCTGCAGAGGGAGGCCCAAGCCCACCTGGAGGCTGTGGAGCTGGACTTAGAACACGAAGGCAGCGGGTGACGAAATGCGCACCTGCGTGTCTGCCGGCCTCAAAGGCGGCCCGGCCCCCAGCTCCACCTCTTTGTGGGCTTTGTCCACCTACACATCTCTCTCCGCCCCGAGGAAGCCCCCTGTCGTCCTGGGCCATGGCAGTCTGACCACACACCCCGATTAGCAGCGCCAGGCCCGGCTGGATGCCCACCCTGCTTGTTTTCTTTCTGAAGGGTCTTGGTGCAGTGTGCTTACCTGGCCTCCCGCCCACTTGTGTGTGGACACCCTCTGCAGGCCTCCACACCCACAAGCAGGGCTGTGGCCCGAGTGATGCCCTGCCTGTCCTGCCCCACCGAGGGTCCTCCTGGCCCAGGGCCCCATACCGCTTCAGGGCCGAGGTGTTCCTGTGGGGCCGGACAGGCCTGGGCGGGGCCTCATCCTCCAGGAAGTCGTCGCGGTCCAGCAGCTGCCGCAGCGCCAGGTTGGCCAGCTGCTCCATGAGCTTGAAGGTCTCGCCGATGTTGAGGAACATGGAGAAATGGAGTTCCTGGTCACGAGTGTCCACACGAATGCTCTCGGGGAACAGCAGCGTGGCACTCTTCTCCAGCCGTGTGATGTCCACCCACTGTACCACCAGGCTCACTGAGTGGCAGGATGGATGTGGGTCAGGCCGGGCATGGCTCCTGCTGCCCTCTGCACCAGGCCCACCCGGGGAACTGCCCCAAGGGCAGTGCTTCCCGGCGCGCTCCGTGAGAAGAGACCAGGCCAGCCCCTCAACGAGTGTCCGCTACACCGCTGATGAAGAGTGAAGGAACGCGTCGGGGATGCCGTGTGAACGGCCAGCAGTGCCCTCGAGAGGGAGTGCACAGCCAATGAACAGTCACAGTCACAGCGTGGCATGACCAGCTCAGGGTAGGATGTGGCCCCTATGTCTAGTGAGAGGACCGACCTAGTCTTGACCGGGAATTGGCCAGGTGGGGTGGGGGAGAGGCTGCGGGCCTAGGAGGGAGGCAAAGAGGGAGGTGAGGAGGGAGGCTGGCTTGCAGGACCTGGGACAGCTAAGGCCCCGGGGGCTCTTCTGGGAGCTGGCCAGGGGCTTGGCTCACATCCTGAGGCCGGGCGCAACCCGCAAGCAGACGTGGCCATGGCACGTGCCCAAGGTACCGTGTGACCTGGGATCACTCAGGGCAGACATGTGCCCAACACGCCACTTCAGAAGAGGGCAGGCCCGTGAAGGTTGCCACACAAACATCCTACCGGGGGTGGTAGGCATAGGGGGCGCCTGCCAGGGGCAGGTATCAGGCCTGGTCAGGCCCTGCTGGTCAGGAGGCATGTGGGTTTTGGGAAGACCCCCCAGCGGCCACGCAGGGAGGGATTATCCAGGGGCTGAGAGGAGGGGGACCAGCAGGAGCCCTGGCTGCCTAGCGAGGCTGCAGGCCTGGAAGCCGGGGAGGGTGAGCAGGGCTGAGGTTGCGGGCTGGGGGTGCAGAGCGGGCCCCCCACCCGGGCTCACCTTCCTTCCCCAGCAGGAAGGAGTAGAAGCACAGGTGGTTAACCGTCAGGTAGAGCCAGCCCTGCCGCGGCACGCGGCCCTTCCAGAAGCTGCAGGAGTAGTAGTTGACCAGCTTCTCACCCTCGGGCATCCCGAACTGCTTCCGCATCTTCAGCTCGGCCTCCTTCAACTTCCCAGGGTCCTCGTCTCCCTGGGGCTGCAGGTTCTTGTTCTCCTCCGCAATGATGCCCTGGAGGAGACAGGCCTGGCTGCCCTGCATGCCTGGACAGGCCGAGGGGTGGGCAGAGGCCCTGGGCAGGGAGCCTGGACAGGCCGAGTGGGGGCAGGGGCCCTGGGTGCGGCAGAGGCCACAGGTGTGGGGAAGCAGCCAGCGGCTCTGGTTTGCAGTCAAGGCCCGTGGCTGGCCACTGCTGCCCAAGGAACTCTAAGCCAGTTCCCACAACTCCCCAGCTCACTGGCTCCAGTAGTGACTTGTGAAAGAAACATTTTACTTATTTTATTTATTTATTTTTTGAGTTGGAGTCTCACTCTGTCACCCAGGCTGGAAGGAAGTGATACGCTTTCAGCCACCGCAGCCTTGACCTGCTGGGCTCCGGCGATCCTTCCGCCTCAGTCTTCCGAATAGCCAGAACTACAGTGTGCTACCACGCCTGGCTGATGTTTTGATTTATTGTAGAGATGAGGTCTCGCCAAGTTGCCCAGGTGGGTCTCGAACCTGCGGGCTCAGGCAATCCACTCACCTCAGCCTCCCAAAGGCGCGGGATTACAGGCTGAGCCACCGAGCCCGGCTCATTTTACTTATTTTTATAGACAACTGTCGAGCACAGCCTCCAATCCCAAGGCAAAAAGTGCAAATCATAGAACAGCACATTCTGTGACGGAGACCCAGGCCCCCGTAGCCACCTTCCAGGTCCCCAACACACAGACACCCTGCACCCACAAGCAAGCCCTCAAGTGTCTGGCTCCCCTGGCTCTGCCAAGTGGATGGTTGTGGCCCTGTGGGAGCAGCTCTTCTCCTGTGTCTTGGAGGATGGCTGTGTCTGACCCCTGTACCAAGGGGCCCACTGGCTTGGAGACCGTCCACACTCCGCTGCCGGTGGCATCTCGGCTGGGCTCAGGGTGCCTAGAGACATTCCCTGGTCCCAGCGTCAGCCCCAAGCCTCCTGGGTGAAACAGGTCCTCAGTGTGCTTGGCTCACTTCAGAAGAGGGTAGGCCAGTGAAGGCTGCCACACGAACACCCTACTGGGAGTGGTGGGCACAGGGAGAGCCCGCCAGGGGCAGGTATCATGCCTGGCCAGGCCCTGCTGTTAAGGAGGCACGTGAGCTTTGGGAAGACCCCTCCAGTGGCCACGCATGCCAACTTTCTCAAAGGGCAACTACTGGGTAAACGAAGTCAAGGCTGGTGCCGGCAGCTGCTGCTTCTACAGGGCTGGTGGTTGGCCTCCCCTCCCTCCAGCCATGAGCCTGGGCGGGCACCCACAGGTGGGTCTGCTCTGGTCCGCTACTTCTCAGTACAGCCAGGGAAGGAAGTCAGAACATGTCGTCTCAAGACACAGCTCTTCCACACACACAGGGTTTCAAGTGGAAGGCAGTCAGGCAGCAGCAAACCCAGGAAGGCTCTCTGCCCACTTCTGCTCGAGAGCAGGACATGGACTCCCCCTTCCCGAAGACAACTCTGCTCAGAGGCAGTGCTGGCGGCATCTGCGGACACCCTGACTCCAGTGGCCTCCCCACCATCCCTGCCTGAAGTTCAGCCTGTCTCCGCTGGCCTGTCCCTGCCCTTTAAAAGACAGCTCTTATGGGCGGGGCTGTGTCACCCTACGTTTCCAACCAGACCTTGAGGGATGCCCCCAGCCTCCCCATGAGCATATGAGATACACGTGCTGACAAGCTTCTGTTCTCAGCACTTTGGGAGGTGGAAGCGAGAGGATTGCCTGAGACCAGGGATTTAAGACCAGCCTGGGCAACTTGGTGAGACCTCGTCTCTACAGTAAATAAAAGTTAGCCAGGTATGGTGGTGCACGGCTGTAGTTCCAGCTACTTGGAAGGCTGGGGCAGAAGGATCGCCTGAGCCCAGCAGGTCGAGGCTGCGGTGGCTGTGAGCGTGCCCCTGCCCTCCAGCCTGGGTGACAGAGTGAGACTCCGACTCAAAAAAAACCTGTTCTTTTCTTGCTCATGTCTTTTATTACAGAGCCCCACCAATAACCTAACCAGGAGGAGGAGGAGGAGGAAGGTTTCTTTCTTGACACCGGCAGCACTGCACACAGTCGGAACATCCTCCTTCCCTCCCTCTCTCGGCCAGAACACAGGAACACTCATATTCTCTCTCCCCGCTCCCCCATCCGAAGGGGCTCAGCACAGCACCCCTCCTTCCTGGGCTCTGCCTGGGTTCCCTGTGCCGGACCCTACCCACGGGGGGCTGGGAAGTGGCCCCGTCACCTGTGGGAGGCACAGGGGCCCTGGAGGGCAGCTGCGGAGGCAGCCACGTCCGCAGAAGGGGCCGCCCCGCCCTCGCGCTACCTTCCTGAGTCTCAGCCGCTGCTCCCTGCTCTCTCTGGCTGTACCTGGGGGACCCCCAAGCAGGGCAGAGGGGCTGATGACAGCCTGCCCTCCCTCCCCTGCATCCTCCACTGGGGCCTCACCAGCCCCGAGCCCTTGGGCCTTCCAGCCGCCACTCAGCAGGAACAGTCGCCGACAGCGGGCAGATGCCCTGTAAAAACCACCGGGTAGATTCGCATTATTGACTCTTCACTAGTTTTAGGTATTTTCAGGCTTCCTGTCTCGGCCTGAGCCTCAGTGCAAGCTACATTACGTGTGAGGCCTGACAGGACCCCAGCTGTCCACATTTCCATCCCCAGAGCTTGGGAACAAGTCACCTTCCTTAGCCAAAGGGGCTTTGCAGATGTGACTAGTGACTCCGAGAGGGGGAGATGATCCTGGCTCACTTGGGTGACCCCAATATCATCACAAGAGGCCTATAAAGACGGAAGCAGGAGGGGCTGGGAGGTGAGAAGGGGAGTGGGAGGCGGGGGTGCTGGCTGACTTGAAGACGACATGCTGAAGGCATGAAGGTGGGGCTGGGAACCAAGGAACACAAGTGGCCGTGACAGGCTGGAAATGGTGAGGAAATAGCTTTCCTTTGGCCTCTGGAGGAGCAAGAGGACACCTTGGTTTTAGCTGATGGAGACCCGTTCTAGACTCCTGACCTCCAGCACGGCAAGATGATAAATTTGTACCCTCTTTCTTTTTTTGAATTAGAGACGGGATCTTGCTATGTTGCCCAGACTGATCTTGAACTCCGGGGCTCAAGCAAGCCTTCCACACTGGCCTCCCAGAGTGCTGGGATTACAGATGTGAGCCACCATGGCTGGCCGAGACTTCAACCTAGTAAGAGCCCTCCTAGGAATCTAACAGAAGGCAATCATCCGACAGAAAGAGAAAGAAACATGCACAAACACTCAGACAAATGCCTATTACAGTGCTTGTGAGCCCACAGAGGAAATTCCTCAACATTACCACAACATGCACTTTTTAAAGTTGGAGTCTCAGTCTGTCACCCAGGCTGGAGTGTAGGGGCACATTCACAGCCACCGCAGCCACGACCTACGGGGCTCAGGCAAGGCTTCCACCTCAGTCTTCCAAGTAGTTGGAGCTACAGGCACGCATCACCACGCCTGGCTAATTTTTTGATTTACTGTAGAGATAAGGTCTCACCAAGTTGCTCAGGCTGGTCTCAAAACCATGGGCTCAGGCAATCCTCTCACCTTGGCCTCCCAAAGTGCTGGGATTATAGGCATGAGCCACCGCACCTGGCATGACATGCATTTTTACATACTGCTCCAATTTCCATAATCGTTATTTCAGTGGCTAGGAGATATTCTGTGAAGCACACCCTCTGGGACTTACGTCCCTCACGCAGTAGGCATGTACAGCACTTAGCAGGTGTGAGCAAGTGTGCCCACTCATTCTGCCGGGCAGAAGACGGCTACTTTCCCCCCTACCTCAGGACTGGGAAGCAGTCGCCAATCTTTTCACTGAACACCTTGGTCCACGGTCATTCTGCATTTCGGAATACGCTGTAGGGCAAACTTCAGGGAGTGGAATTGCTGGTGAAAGGTAAGTACCTTTTAAAATAATATTGGTGGCTGGGCTTAGTGGCTCAGTTTATAATCCCAGCACTTTGGGAGGCCAAGGCGAGTGGATTGCCTGAACACACAGGTTTGGGACTAGCCTCGGAAACTTGGTGAGACCTCGACTCTACAATAAATAAAAAATTAGCCAGGCATGGTAGTGCGCACCTTGTAGTTCTGGCTATTTGATACTGGGGTGGCCGTGAGCACGCCACTGCACTCCAGCCTTGGCGATGGAATGAGATTCCAACTATAAATAAATAAATAAATAAAATAATATTGGTGGCCAGGTGTGGTGGCTCATCCTGTAATCCCAGCACTTTGGGAGGATGGAGGTGAGAGGATTACTTGAGCCCAGGGGTTCGAGACCTGCCTGGGCAACTTGGTGAGACCTCATCTCTACAATAACTAGAAAAAATTAGCCAGGTATGGTGGCGCGTCTGTACTTCCAGCTACTTGGAAAGCTGAGGTGGAAAGATTGCCTGAGCCCAGCAGGTCGAGGCTGCAGTGGCCATGAGCATGTCACTGCACTCTATCCTGGGCGACAGAATGAGACTCTGACACAAAAAAAAAATAAAAAAGTAGTAATAATGATACTGGTTTTGTAATAAAAATATATCTCAAAATATCCTATTTCTTCCAGCTTCTCCTCTGCTGGCCAAGAAGCCAGCAGACAGGGGTGCACAGAGCACTGCAGTTTTGAGGCCTTCCGGCAGGAGTGGAAACTCCCAGCTATGCCCTGGCCAGGGAAGGGGAGCCTTCCTCCCATGAGCTCAACTGCCCCTTCCAACTCCAAGAAAAGGAGCGCCGACTCTCCTGCCCCCCTCTCTAACACGGGGACACACCCACGCCGTGTCAGCCGAAGACAAGACACAGGAACACCACCAGCGAGGTCAGATGCGAGTGCTGCCAGCCAGTGTGACTTACATGGATCTTGCCCTTGACAAAGGTGGTGATGTCTTCCTCACTGTCGAAGATGGACAGTGTCTGGAGCAAGTTGTTTTCCAGCCATTCCCAGTGTTTTGTGATCTCTTTGCGGGAAGAACCTAGGCGAGGTTTGGTGAAGTAAAGAAACACAAAATCACCAGGCTGTAAACACAAATTCAAAGAAGAGACACTTAAAAGGGTGGCCTGATTTGCTATTTCAAGTGGCCAGCACTTGCTTACACTTTTTCTTTTCAAGCTTCATGTCTAGAACAAAAGTAATAAAGGGTCCTGGTTACAAATGAAAACTGTCAAGATTCAGGCAGTACCACAGTCCTGTGGGAGATGAGGCCTCCCCTGACCCTGGCGCCACGAGTCATTGGTGGTGTCCTCTGAGAAAGCATGCACCCACAGGTCTGCAAACTCATACAAACTTTTCTCTGAGCTGAAGAAGGTTAATGTGGCCCTTGCTACCTACGCGACCATCAGACACAGTCACACTGTAAGTGGCTCTAGCTCTTTCCTGAGAAGGCAGGTGTCCACAGGTGTCCAGGCATGTAGTATGTGCTCAAGGTCCCACACTGGGGAAGTGGCCAAACCAGAACCCTCACCCAGGCCAGGCCTCGCCTTCCTAGGCTACTGGGAGAGCCTTCAGCATAAAAGCACCCGCAGAGACACGTCAGTCCAGAGGGGAAAGAAGAAAGGATGGGCCTGGGTCTGGGGAGACCGGGAAGGTGTCCCAGGTGATACCTGGGTAGGTGCTCGACAGGGTGGGGGAAAGCCAGCTGGACGTGGGGCGTGGGTGTGAAGCAGCCAGAGGGGTGTGGCCGGGACTTGCAGGACCCTCGAGTGTGTGTTCTGGCTGAAGGCCAGGGTGTGAGCTGGGGACGGGAGGCCAGAAACAGAGGCAGGCAGAGCCCCAGGCCTCAGATGCCAGGCTCACGGGTCAAGATTCACTGGGTGGGTGTTGGCAGGACCTGGTCTGGCTCTGGTGAGCTGCTTCTGGGCCCAGTTGGGCTGGGAGAGGCAGGGGCACAGGTAGGCCAGGGCCTGGCAGGAGTTGGGGGGATCAGCTGTGTGGGATGGGGCTACAGAGAGGGACTCTGTTGCCTGACCACGGCCAGGCCTCTCCCCGCACCAGGCCCACCGCGGCCAGCATGCTTGTGTCTCCCAGGGTGGGGGGGTACTGGAGATGGAATTCCTGGCCTGGGTTAAGTAGGTTCTCTCCACCCTGCCCAGCGTTCAGGACCTCTGGCTCCTGCAGGGACAGCCCCACCCACAGAAGGCCCCTCCTCCTACAGACAGGCACACCCTCACTGTCCCCAGTGCCTACTCAGGCTCTGGGATCAGAAATCAGGGTCCTCCTGGGCAAATTCCCCTTTCAACTCAAGCCCACTCAGTCCCGTGAGCACCTGTGCAGGGTTGCCATGGGCAGGGCACCACTGGGAAGCAGTGGCTATAGGGGGGCTGCTTCCTGAGTTCTTCCTCTCTGCCCCCCCACCCCCAACCAAGGCTGGGCTCCAGCCAGGAGGCTCGCTAGTTCCTGAATCTTGTTGCTCTTTCCTGGGTCTTCAAGAGCCACGTCCTGGAGGACAAGCACATCACGCTCCCGGGCCAGAGAAGTATCCAGTGGGTCTGACCCGCAGCTTAACCCTCCAGGTCAGAGCTTCCTGTCTTCAAAACCGGATCATGGAGTACTCATGCTCCTGGGAGGTTCAGGCATGCCTGGCTTGCAGGAAGTGCCGTCAGGGCCAGCAAGAGCCTACTGGATGGGGCCTTCCTTCGGGCCCTCAGGGAAGGCAGGTGTACCTACTCCCAGGAGAACAAGTATCCAAGCATATGTGTTCCAAAGTGCTCCCAGCACTGAGTTTGTGACCACCCACCCACAACCCTGGGATGCAGGGTTAGGTCCTGCCAGCCTCTGATGGCAACATTTTTGTCAAGCAATTGAAACACAACTGGTTCATGTGTGTTTCTGTTTAAAGATATCTTATTTGCTTATTTTGAGTCAGGGTCTCACTCTGTCATGCAGGCTGGAGTGCAGTGGCACAATCATGGCTCACCACAGCCTCAACCTCCCGGGCTCAGGTGATCCTCCCAATTCAGCCTCCCCAGTAGCTGGCACAACGGGTGTGCACTCCCACACCCGGCTAGTTTTTTCATTTTTTGTAGAGACAGAGTCTCACCACATTGCCTAGGCTGGTCTTCAATTCCTGGCCTCAAACGATCCTCTCATCTTGGCCTCGCAAAGCGCTGGGCTTACAGGTGGGAGCCAGTATACCTGGCCAAAATAACCTCATTTAATATACATCACAAGTAGGTGAATTTGCAAATACGGAATCACTGCACACAGTGCTGACTGCGTCCACCTGGAGAAAAGGTGGGCTTGAGATCGGGGCCCTCAGGGCTGTCTGTGCCTGCCGCGTCCCATGACCTGTCCTGCCTTGCCAGGCTGAAAGCCACAGCTCCCCAGCTCCCCTCTTGCTGGCCCAGGCTGTGCTGTCAGCAGGCCCAGGGCCCAGGGTAACAAGCCCAGCATCTCTGGCGACCTAGGGCACCTACCACATGCCACCGTCCAGTAGACCTGCGAGTCCTGGGTCTGGTGCAGGATGCGGTACGGGGCCACACGGGCGCTTGAGTCCAGGACCACGTCCAGGGTGCCCACAAGAAGACCTGGCAGCAGGGCAGAGACAGAGTTGGTGAGGGGAGGACCACACGTAGGGGCTGGGCCTGGCTGGGAGCAGCCAGACAGGACCAGCCCAGGGAGGGGAGGGGAGATATCTTGAATTAACCCCTGCAAAAGCCTTCAGCCAGCACCTGGTGCCCATCCACCCCAGTCCCCGTAGGGCACACCCAGGTTACAGACCAAAGCTAAACAATTCCAGGCAGCCGGGTTCGGTGGCTCAGCCTGTAATCCCACGCCTTTGGGAGGCTAAGGTAAGTGGATTGCCTGAGCCCGTGAGTTCGAGACCTGCCTGGGCAGGGAGACCTCATCTCTACAATAAATAAAAAAATCTGCCGGGCGTGGTAGTGAATGCCTGTAATTCCGGCTATTCGGAAGGCTGAGGCAGAAGGATCGCCGGAGCCCAGCAGGTCGAGGCTGCGGTGGTCGGGAGCGGCCACTGCACTCCAGTCTGAGCGACAGAGTGAGACTCCAACTCAAAAAAAAAAGAAGGGTTCAATCTCAGCACTGTGGGAGGCCAAGGTGAGTGGACTGCCTGAGCCCACGGGTTCAGGGCCAGCCTGGACAACATGGTGAGACCTCATTTCTACAGTCAATCAAAAAATTAGCCAGGCGTGGTAGTGTGTGTCTGTAGTTCTGGCTACTTGGAAGGCTGCGGTAGAAGCCTTGCTGGAGCCCAGCAGGTCTCGACGCTGAGGTGGCCGTGAGTGTGCTACTGCGCTCCAGCCTGGGCAACAGAGTGAGACTACAACTCAAAAAAAAAAAAGGTACAAAGTTAGGCTCCCAAACAAGTACTTCTTTAGAATAAGAAACAGTTACAGATTAGAATAAAAATGCCACAACTATCACAAAACCCAGAAAAGCAGCACAATGTTTTATGAAGAGACATCGCCAACGATTTTGCGACACAGCTTGCTACGTCAAGAACAGAAAGGCAGTGTAGTCTTTCCTCTGCCATGAATCACAAATATTTATTACTGAAAGTTTACTTATTTATTTTTAGTCAGAGTCTCACTTTGTCAACCAGGCTGGAGTGCAGTGGCACACTCATGGCCACCGTAGCCTCGACCCGCTGGGCTCCAGCGAGCCTTCTGTCGCAGCCTTCCAAGTAGCTGGAATTACAGGCGTGCGCCAGCACACCCAGCTAACTTTTTGATTCACTGTAGAGATGAGGTCTCATCAAGGTGCCCAGGCTGGTCTCAAACCCTGAGCTCAGGCAATCCTCTCTCCTCAGCCTCCCAAAGTGCTGGGATTACAGGCATGAGTCACCATGCCTGGCTGTTATTACTGAAAAAAAAAATTTTTTTTGAGTTGGTGTCTCACTTCATCACCCAGGCTGGAGTGCAGTGGCATGCTCACAGCCACCCCAGTGTTGACTTGCTGGGCTCTGGTGATCCTTCCAAGTAGCTGGAACTACAGACACATCACCACGCCTGGCTAATTTTTGTGATTTATTGTAGAGATGAGGTCTCACCAAGTTGCCCAGGCTGATATTGAATCCCCGGGCCCAGGCAATCCATTCACCTTGGCCTCCCAAAGTGCTGGGATTACAGATTACTAAAAGTTTAAGGAAGTTTCTTCCAGTCTCAAAAGTCAGGGTTGAAAAGGACATGTAAATTTTTAGAACTGTCAAATTGAAAAACTATTGATACAGTTTCTTTCCCCTCTGCACTGAAGCACTTTAGGACATTTCAAGTTCATCTTCTCATCACGCCTACCCTTTGGATCAACAACACATGTAGCCCATTTGCAGCAATGCAATCTTTATCAGTGTCACTACCTCCTGACAAACCAGCAGGACATTCGCATCTTTAACCATGGCTTGATCTAATCCTCTTAGTTAGTGGAGTTATCAAGGAAGTGAAACACCTGCTCATTGTTCTTTGAAATTTTTCCCCTCCTTTTAATGAAGTACTGCTTTTGGTATGACCTGAAAATACTTTGTTACAATTTTCCTGTTGATATCAGAACAATTTCTATTGAAGTTATTATTCAACTTGAACAATTCTGTTTCACAGTTAACTGATTTTTTTGTGTGTGGAAGTTGAGGTCTCACTTGGTCACCCAGTCTGGAGTACGGGCATGATCACAGCTCACTGAAGCCTCAGCCTTCTGGGCTCCAGTGATCCTCCTGCCTCAACCCCACATAGCTGGGACTACAGGCAGGTCCCATGCCTGGCTAATTTTTTGCTATGTTGTCCTGGCTGGTGTCAAACTCCTGGGCTCAAATGATCCTTATGTCTCTGCCTCCCAAAGTGCTGGGACCACAGGCATGAGCACTACACCTGGCCCAGCTGACTTTTTTCCCTCCAGTCTTCAATAAATGAAATGATCAAGGACTAAAGAAGGCCCTCTTCACATACATCCAAATCAAGAGTTCGTGATTTCTCACTGTTTTACTGAAATGTTCAGAAATGTCTCTCTAAATTGTAGCTAATGGGCATATTTAAGCTTTTTGTTTGGAATAAACTTTCTCCCATTGTTCATGTTGGAAGTTCTCTTCTGGCCTTGGAAATTATATTTTAGAGTCTCTAAACTGTTGGCAGATTCGAGTCCCAAGACATGAAAGTTTTCTCTTTTTTTTTTTTTTGAGTTGGAGTCTCACTCTGTCTCCCAGACTGGAGTGCAG